AAGATTCCTCCATAATGTCTCTCCCCCAAAAATTATGCCCTCAGGCGTTTTATCAAATTTTTTTTTATTTTTCCTGAAATTAACATCTCAACAGGTACTTACATGCCAAGTTTAAGCTTTCTGTCTCTCCGTTTTGCTGAAGCGAAAAAATAATTATTTGACAAACCCCCCTCCCCCAGTGCATCCCAATAGCTACTTGTGTAATGAATTTCAGGTTTCTATCATCTCTAAAACATTGTTAGAATTAGCATCAGTCAGTCAGTTACTCACTCGTGATCGTCTATATACAGGGCGGTCCAAAAGTCCGTCAACATTCGCGCTGCCAGTGCTGCTATGGCACTGGAGTCTCGCGCGTGTGCGTGACTGCTTTCGTCGGCGTGTCCGCGTTTGTCATGCTCCTAAAGGTGCCCAGTTCGAACGTTTGATGTGGTCATACGAAAGCATGTGAGGCGGGACTGTCGGACCACCCTGTATATTAATTTTCATCTCCCGTCGAGTTTTTCGAATTTCGAGATTTAAAGTTTAATATTATTCGATCATTCACGTCAACATCATACCATCCTAGAATCCGTAATTATTGCCTTCCGATCACGAATAGGCAGGAATTACTCGCCGAGCCGATCGAGCAAGAGACACTTGCGGCACGTTTCATTTCCTTCATTCGTGTTGCCTTTCTTGGAAGTCGGCATTGGCTGTCTCGATGCGAATGATTTGGTTGCTCCGTCGGGTGTTTCGCGTTCGCCTCGATGATTCAAAGGATCGGAGTGGCAATCAAAGGGGAAGAAGGGTTTTCGTCTCTTCAATTTCGCTTTCCAGGAATGGGCTTTGCAGAGAGAAATTCGATATGGAGAGCGAAGTCACGGGTGGCCTCGATTTCCATGTGGATAGTGGATGCATGCTTTCGATACTCGTCGATATTTTCGACGCTTCGATGATGTTGCACGTTTGTGGTGGACCCTCGATGAATCGCATCGCGAATCTGCGTCACTCGAGGTTCGGTATGCCACCCGCCGAGCTCGAGTCCGTCGCACGGGATCGCGAACGCTGGAAAATGCTCCTGCCTCTGCTCGAGCCAAGACCCCCATGAAGTTGGGGTAAGCGCTTTTCAAGATGTACGTATGTAGCGTACGGTATCGTCGACTTTCGATATTATTGATATATCGCGCTACCTTAATTTTGGTCGTACTATCTACGACGGCGTACTTGAAAGAGACCGTCCCGCACTGCGCATTTCCCCATCTTTTTTTTATGTTGCTGCATCTCATCTGACACCGTGATGAGGCAGTAATACGTAAGCACGACGTCATCTTGAACTTTTAATTGGCCAGGGCCTGGCCTGAACTGACGGCCGAGAGGATGCTGTGAGTCAAGATTGACGCAACCCTAACGTATAGGGAGCTCCACTGCTTTGCTTTACTTTCGTCGTAACCAGTCAAAATGCTAGCTTGTCCACTTATTACCTTTTAGCTTTTTATTTATTTTCCAGTATCTCTGGCGTGAAAAGGGAAACTAGGGTTTTTACCGAGGGCCTTTAACTGGAACTGGGTGACTCGCCCAGGTATATTCGGGTATTACCATCGTCGCTAAAATTAAGATTCGCCGCCTGGTTTAAAACTGCTGGCACCCAGATGAAATTTTTTTTTTAGCAGCACAGAGGTACTTTGAATTCCCTCCCCTCCCTTCTTTGCGAAACCTCAACCGACGGCAACTGATAAGAGTCGAGAAAAGCGCAGTTATTGAAAGGTGGCGATGATGAATATGCCCTGGATTGAGCACGTGTGTACGTCAGCTCGCGAATCAGTCTCAAGGTGAGTGTGAGGGGTGTGTGCCCTCGTCAGGGCACCCATCTCGTAAGGAGGGAGAGGTGGCGTGAAAGATGAAATTTCTGGGAAACGAACCTTGGGACGTGGGTAGAGCAGGATATGGAGGATTTCCTCTTCACGTGCCGGTGCCACGAGACCCCGTGATCTCCTTGTCCTCTTGCCCTGAACCTAGTTTCCTCGCTCGTCCTGTCGCCGGCTGAAGGTCAACATTTTTATTATTATTGGAATGTGGAATGGTCGCGTTTCGGCGCACGTGTTCCGCCTCTTTCTCGCCGGTTTCGTAGGAAAGGCTGGAATGGGGCCACGATCCCAGATTATGGTGAGAGGGGGGGGGGGGCTACAGATGATGTCAAGATTGAGATGCCTCTGATCATTTTGGGGATGAAGAGAAATATATTTTAAAAAAAAGGGGGGTGGGGCTACATGCCTTCTTTCCTCCATTACCCCCCCCCCCCCCCCCCCCCCCCCTTTTTTTTACCCCCTTTCCCCCCCCCCCCCCCCCCCCCCCCCCCCCAAATCTCTTGGCCAGATTACCACATTAAACAGGTGCGCCAAAGGCACCTGCTAATTTTTCCTTTAATCCTCGCCTTCACACTGCCGATGTATGTTCATGTTCGATTACGGTAGTTATGAAGCGATTAAACTTTTTTTTTTTAAACCACCTCTGGAAAAAATAGAATCGACCGCCTAAGATGTGTCGTTGTTTCTATGTAGATGTCTCAGCTGAGTTCTGTGTTTCTTTTCCTATCAAAATTGGGTGGTGGTGGATCGATTGCTTCGCAGGAATTCATCCATGGATGGCAGTCCGTCCAGTTTCCCAAATTTCTTTTGTCGGTCATCGCCGAAAGGCAAGTTGGCTAAAATGGATGTGAAACTTATTTTCTCTCAGGGTCTTAGCTGCTTCACACGCTATCGACAGTTGGCAACAAATACTTGAGGCGAGTACAGTAATGTACAAGAAAGAGTTGCGGAGTTGCGGAAAGAGTTAAAATTGAGTTGTCACGTGGAAAATGCACGTTTGCTACGTGACTGAGTTGGCGGATGGCGGCTTGAGAGTGTGGCGCTGTGTCTGGGGAGGACCCATTATCAGCTTATGGGGAGGATTTCTGAGCGTAAAAATATGACTCTCATAACTCACGGGGGAGAGGCACGTTGGCAAGAACTGATGGGCCTCGTGTTGTTTTGTTCTAAATGTTATCTTTCCTTCACTGTCTTAGAGAGATGTAGTATGGACCAAGACATGGGATGAGGCATGATTGATTAACCCTTTAACCTTATTTTTGCTGCATACCGGGAGTGTTTTTGCCACATGTAATGAGTTTTTTTTTCTGCCGCATGCACTTGTTAGCGGAATATCTCTTAATATACGGAGCATCCATTCGCCTTTCGGCGTCCACTCAGGATTTTGCAGGTTTTCTAAATGCAGGAATCCCTAAAGGCAGTGAGCGCAGTACTACAGCGTAAGTATTAACGCCAAAAGGCGGTCACCGACATTGTTATAATTGTCGGCATTTTTTGCAATCTTGGTGATCATTTTTGTAAGCATATTCCTGTCCAAGGTCAAACAGTAAGTATGGAATATGCTTACACTTGGCAACTTGTTTCATACTGCTTAGGATATGGAGCCATGTGAAAATGAAAATTAAAAAATCGCATGGAGGCATGCTGTGGAATGGCGAAGCTGTCTTCAGTTTATTATGATTTTGTTACTCTGGAAGGTAGAGGCTTCCCCCTTCTGAAGAGCCTAATCCTGGGCCAATCATATCATATGTGATGCAGTTCTTTTGTATGAATTCTCCTCTGTGAAGATGGTGATTTTTTTTTGTCCCAGTGAGTCAATTATTTATTTTAGGTTTATATTCACTGGAATTTTCTTCCAATAGCTTTGCATAGTGACAAGACTCCAATCATAGAAAAGACTAATTTCTAAAATTTCTTTACTTTCAAGTCTCAAAATTTGGAGAAAAGTTCTGAATGAAATTGGATCATCATAGCGCCTTGCTTGTGCTTTAACCTCCTGTCATAGCTTTTTCTTTATATTGCCATTTTCAAATCAGAAAATTATTGAATGGTAAAAGGGGTTGCTGCAATTAGGCTTGTTTACTTCATTACAGCATAAAGCACAAGTTTTTCTGTTAATTTAATTTTTTTTCCTTCTAGAATCCTAGATAGACCTTCAAGATAGCTTGACAGAATGGCATCATAATTTATGTTTGTGTAAAGGACAAGAAGTAAATGAATTGCATTAATGACTGTTCTCCTTGTTTCAGCCTGACATTTCTCCCCTCACCATTTCTGACAAATTCTCTGTGCAGCCCTGACCAATCCTCATTGGAGGCTTGTTCCCAGGATCCACATGATGCTTGATCAGTTTCCAGTAGGGGGGACTGCTATCCCCAAGAGCATTCATTCCTCATTGTGGAGTTATGTGAGTTTCTCATTCTCAGTGTCAGCACTTCTACTACTGTTTGGTCTTGAATCATATATTCCAAATAAGCAATCCATTGGCTTAGCATATATTAAATTAAAATATTTTACTGGGCTTCATGAGTCTTTTATCTCATGTTTAAATCATAAATTCTATATTATTATTCCATATTAGAATATTTTGCATACTCTATTTTGTGTCTGTAATGGCAATTCTTGGAGTTTTAATGGGGCAATCAAAGGTCCATCTTGCTTCTCCAAAGCTGTTTATTTTTCTATAATATTACAACAAGGAGCATTACCTCAACCAATCTGCAGCACAGGGACTCAAATTCTCTGCCCAAGAATTGTATCCAGAATGATCCAGTGTAGTCACACAAGGTACATGACAATGGCCAGTTCTGATCAGTTTCAAATTGGGGAATGATTAGCCAAGGATTTTTCAATTGTGAAAATTACTCTTCAGTCGGTATTAGTAGAATTGAAAAATGATTATACAGAAGAATAAGAGCATATGATTTATTTCCAAATAGATTGTAAATTTGGGTTTTGAAGAGATATTTGGGAGGTAGGGGGTGAAGGCATCCCAGAAGGAATATAGCCATTCAACTTCTTGAGAGACACAAGAACAGGGATATGGTAAGGTCTCTGAATGAAAGGGCACTTCTTCACAAACCAGAAAAATATATAATAATACAAAATTCAATTCTACACCAATTCAGCTCAACTGATGGAATGACATTGAATTTGGTCTTGCTGATTCTTGACATTTTCCTCTTTCTCTTCTCCTCCCACCAATATTAAGATGGATGCCCCCTTTGACTCACACCCAAGAGGGTAATGCCTGTCTCAAACACTGGCCCACTTTGGCACTGGCTTTTTTGGTCATGTGATGAATTTCCACATTCATGGTCATGATTTCTTGAGGCAATATGGACTCCTAAAAGAAAAAAAAAAGATTTGTCAAAGAATGAATGTCAGAGCCAAGTGAAAAGTACAGCATTACTGGTTACTGAGAAAAAAAAACTGTCCAAGAAGCTACAAGTAATAACCATTATTCAAATGTAAAAAATATGAGTACCACTCACCTCATAAATGAGACAAAAGGGAATTTAATGTGGATCCCCCCCCCATCTTCCATCACTTAAGAATGTGACAGCAGTGGCAATTATTTCCATGCTATCTCAACTTGAGTCTTCTTTCTCTCATCAATGCTGGAAAGATAGAAGTAAAAATGTGCTGGATTGTTAATTATGATAAAGTCCACTCTTAAAAACCTCTAGTAACTATTACTATATAGGGACATCATTACCAAGTGATGGTGTGCTTGCATGCTAATTGCAGACTTCCTTAGATACTTGACCAACCCACTGTTCCCACACAAAACTATGTACAAAACCATTATTCTCTTCCTTGCAGGTAGGAGGAAGGAGATACTTGGCAACACATCTAAAATTAAAGGGATGAGTGCTGTGACAAAATGCCCATCGTCCTGGATCTCCTATGAGCACCATTGGAGGCTGAGGGTTTTCAAGTTGACATTTAAGCCAGTGACACATCTGAAGTGCCAATGCCTCATCGTAGAACATGTCCCCAAGGAGAATGACATTAGGTGGATCTTTGTCTGGAGTTTCTTGGAGAATATTTTGACATGTGACTTCCATGTCAACCTTGTTCGCTGTTGCATTCAGCTCCACAATTTTACATGCAACTGCAAAGTCAACAAATGATTACTCTCAACAATTTATGGCTTAATAATTCCAGGATAATATAAATGTTGGGTTGACCAAAAAAATTCTAAGCTGGAGTCACTTCCAGTTGAAATATATCTTTATTACTCTTCTCACAAGAAGAGACATGTTTTTATATGCTAATATATATAAATATATATTTATATAAATTTATAGAATCTAATTTCTAAGGAGTTTATCAGTAGGACTTTATCTTCTTAAAAGCCACTGAAAAGATCTGCTGGAAGATCAGCTTCTTAGAGGTGAGAAAATTCAGCACAGCATTTATCTCTATTTTAGTTAACCTTCAGAAGATCCTTTGGTAGCAAATTGAAAAAAATAATAGAAGCTATCTTTATTTGACAAATATGAAGTTTTTCCTGTCACCATGAAAGATATATTCTCATGAGAAGTGTAAAAAAAAGATGTATTGCAACTGGAAGTCCCTAAGGCCTTGAACTATTTGATCACCCCACATGTCAAAGAAGAATGTTTTCTATACTCACCTGGATCAATATCAAAAGCCTTAACATGGGCAGCTCCAGCCATGCATGCAGCAATTCCACACACACCACTTCCACTTCCAACATCATAGATATTCTTCCCCTTCACCACTTTTTGATTATCTAAGATGTATCTGAGAATGACAATGCAAATAAATGTTTGCCAACAGGAGGTTAATAATAATAAAAAAAGCCTTGCTTTGAAATGGAGTTACTGGCCACATATTTTTTTTACAGATAGCTTTCGGTAATTCACATATTTGGTACCTAGTCTCAAGACAGGGATTCATACCTACATCCCTTCCAGGACTGTGTCCACAACAAAAACCCTTCAGATTGGTCCAAAGTCACTTCTGCAACTAGGACTTCACTGAACAGATGATTCCACCCTCCACAACAAACAAAAACAGAGATTCAACTTCCTTACAGAAAGGTGTGAAAATAATCCAGGATGATTATCCTACATGTTTAAAGAAATCCTATTGACATGAGGTGCAAGTAGTATTTTTTTTTAATTTACCAAGTAAAAGCTAGATATTTATGGGATGTTCCACCCTACTGACAACCATGTCCCTTGACATTCTCACCTTGAGAGAGCTTGTCCTCCAGGCCAACAAAAAGCCCAGAAAGGATCAGCAAACCAAGTATTTGTAGCTTCAACTTTACTCCACCAGAGACGACAATCTGGAGTGATGAGATTCAGCACAATTTCAGGCAATAGAGGGGGGTTGGATAGCAAAGTTTCTTGGTAAACTGCTTGCTCAATGTTTTTCCCAGCAATAGCACCTCTGAAAATAAAGTTTCCAAGAATTCTTCAATATTCACTATCTGAAAAAGGTTCAGAATGATACAGTAACTCTTGTCTCAAATTCAGCATACAATACTGAAGTATTTTCATTTTGCTGCATTCAATAGTTCCCCCAGAGAATGAAGAAACATAGCCCAGTTCCCTGTACTTAGTTTTATGCATACATACAGACATGAAAAATAAAGAAATTTTAAATAATTTCAGTTCCTAACTGCTTCATTTCTTCCTCCCTTTTTAAACTAACAGGTAAGATTTCTGTAGGATGAATAAGGATCATGATGGTTTTCTGTCAGGCCATTCTCCTGCTGCATGGTTGGAACAAAACACTTTTCTAAATGAAATGATTGCACCTGAAGCAGCCTCATGATACAACATGACATTGAGAGCCTATTCTCTTCTTGTACTTGCAGAAGCTAAACAAGCTGCTTCATGTCTGATGGCAGTGGCATTTTCACATAAATGTAAGGCATTTTGCTGTTATCTGTACTTGGGGTCTCTCATGTCAGAAGATAGAGAATAAAGGAAGGCAAGCTGGGTAAGGTGAGCCAACTCCCAGCAACTTTCATTGTGGTGACAGGCACTTTGAAGTGCAGCAAATCATTTTAACAACTCCCTGCACAGTAGATCCTTCACTAACATCATCAGATCCCTAGTAGTGGAACAGTGGTAAGAGTTTGTACATCCAAATTCAAACCCCACTAGTACAAGTAAAAAAAAAAACATTCTCTCAAACTCAAAACATCAATCTATGGTATTTATTTTGGTAATATTGACACAAAACCATGATATATCTTAGCTCTATCTTGTGATGCATTTCAAAGGCATCAGTAACATCTTCCATCACATCATGGTAACCACTGATGGTGCTTTTTGCTGTTGTTGGAATCCCAGTTATCTTATCTCATAGCAATAGTAGATGCAAAACCCCTCATTTGAGCATTGGGAGGAAACTGGAGTCGACTTTCACATAAGTGCCACAGGCAGTAAAGTTTAGCAGTCATTGGGTTCGAACCCAAGCTGACTTTGGGAGTCTACTTCACCTCCATCTCCCACAGACAGGATCTTAGGCACTTAGTTGAACCAGAAGTGACCAGCCAGCAGTCATGTCTGAGTGGTCAAGGCACCTGACTGAAAATCAGATTCCCATTGAGATTGTGGGATCAAATCCTACACAGACTACACAGCTTTTGCACCCAGGTCAATGGAACTGATCTACAACAACAACAAAAAAACCATGTCCAAACTCCAAAAGTGAAGATTTAAGATTCTAGTGACAGCCCTCTTCAAAGAAATGAAAAGTTTTACAAGTCAATAGTGTTCCCTCAAACAAATCCTACAGGTAGTCTCATCTTGGAGTAAATGAAAGGCCCCATAACTTGTCAATGGGCATGACATTCTGCCTGTGTGAAAAGGAGGTGGTCACCTTCCACTTCTGGTGCCTACATGGAAGCTGATTCCAGTATCCTCCCAGTGCCCTAACAAGAGGTTAATGCTACTATTGCTATGGGATAAAATAGCTGGGATCTCAACAACCACCTCAAAAAAGTATCAGCAGAGAGAGAGGGCAGAGGCATTTCAGGTTGCCCTGATGTGACAAAGAGTCAGGCCTTCCATTTAAACAAAGGTCAACTGAGGTCTCAGGAATGCATTACAAGATACAGCAACAATATATCAAGGTTTTGTGTCATTATTACTAAAACTTGTTGAACTTGGATGAAAAGAAGTCAAACTTGACCAAAACAATTATGCTTTGTCATGCAGTCTAGGTTGCAATGTAACCTCGTGGATTTTTGCCTGAATAACATATAGCTAACATTTAAAAAAATTATTTATTGTATTTTTCCCTTCAGCTTGACCTTGGATATGGCCTCCCATCCTCTGGGCTCCAATTTGAGGATTTGTAAATCCATGAAAATTTGGATAAGCAGACACATATTCAACCAGAATATGAAACCATAATATATTTCTACCAATTCTATTTATACAATTTTGAGATGCCAATTATCCAAGAGTCGAGTTATACCCACACAGGCTTGTGTATAAGAGAATGTGATTGATACTAACTATTACTCATGAAATGACAGCCCTCTTTGCCGGTAGGAGTAATCTCGTATCGAGTTAACCCGAACAACCTCCCAAAGCCAATCCTGAGGTCAAGAGTGACCCGCCACCTCTAAATTAGGCCTAGGCATGTCTTACTTGGAACAAAACGTCCGACTGGAGAGAAAGTGAACGATGCCACAAGCTGAACCTCTCGCCCACACCGAGAACTTGCTTCGCGCCGCAGTCAAGGACGCCATGTCTATGGGCAACTTCAACTTCACCCCAACTTCGCTACGTGCGACAAGGAAAGGAAGCACTGCATGAAGTTTGCGATGCAAATAATAAAAACTGAGCGGTGAAGAGGCAGCCGAGGGACGATCCCTTCCATCTTTCCTCGATCGTCCTATCGAAGCACCTTCATGAGTAGTCCTGTATCCTAAATAGAGGGGAAATCGTCGTGATCGGTGCGGATTTTCGAGCAGGGAATGAGGAAAGAGAGGGCTATTTCCAGGGGAGAGATCTGTTTTTTATTCGAATAGTGTAATAATGGTTTGATATAAATAAAATACACCACTAAAAAATAAACCGAGTTGTTACGGAGCAACGGATGGTATACATATACCCATACGTCTCTCAACCCTCATCTTAAAGAGATTCTTGCAAAAGCCATCGTGCATCGTGGAGTCCTAAAACTCACCATCTTCAATTGTTTACTTTTCTACTTTCTCTCCTCTCGTGAAGTCTGCCTGCTTCGAACCATTCTAGTCCCGATTGTTTCCCTGACCGAATTGGCGCCGATCTAGTTGTCTTCGATATCTTTTCTCAAGACGAAGATGGAATAATTTAAATATGGCATTACTCGCCGCAGCAAGGAATTCCGGGCGACGGGCCATGCCCATTCGACGAACTCGAGGAAAACTCAGATTTTTCTTTTTCATTAATACGGTGGAACAGCGTGATTCGGCGTTCTGATAGCTATGGCCACGTGACAGGAAAAATCAATATTATCCTGGCTTGCTAAGATAAATCCTGCGGCGAAATTTGGCAAAGTCAAAGCTGGAAAATGTCGAAAACCAAGAGTTTCGTTTGCAAAAAAAAAAATTGTCGAGCAACAAGAAAGGCTGAAGTGAAAAGGCTTGACACGCACGCGAGGGTCGCGTGGGGCAAGCCCAGAAAAATCGGCTGCTCGCCTTTTTCGTTTGTCTCGGGGATTCATTGGATACCAGCGCGCGTTCTCGTTTGACCGTCAGCTGTTGCAAAAGGGTTTCCCCTTTTTTGCTCCATCCAGATGGAGATGCCTTCTCGGAATCGTGGAAGTTATGAAACTCTTTAACAGATGTCGAGTAGATAATTGACGGAATGCAAGTCTGGCTGCCCTCTTCAAAGGAAATGTGGTAGATGTCGATCAGATCGTGTTCCCTCAAGCAAAGCCCTTTACCTCGAATAAAAGGAAAAGGCGTCGATAAACAACGAATTTTTCTGAATTTGAATTTTTACTCCCATGTAGATAGATCAGCTTTCTTTTCGGCCCTACAATTATTCAATTATTATGAGTGTGCCTCACTATAAGGGCAGACGTGAATGGTTGGATCATCAAAGCGGAGATCAGCACTCCATCATGCCGTTTTTTTTACACTGGGGTAGCTGGAGATGAAGGGAAGACCATTAAATCTATGCTAGATTTGAAGTGGCTGAGGTATGGACTCTTGGAGAGTTGTGTCATTAGGATCATGATTCGTGGAATTACGTTTTTTTCTATATGGAATCAAATACATGTACTTATTTTCTTAAGTTTCTTTCACCAAATTATCAAAAGGACATCAGCTAGTTGCTGATGCTCCAGCACCTGTCCCCATGCTGTATTCTTTATTTTAGTCTCGAGAGCCTTGACATTTAACCCATAATGAAAGAGTCTGAATTATTACACAGTTCATGAAAATCACAACAATCTTGAAGGGGGAGGGGAAAGCATGAATGGGCTTTCTGCCCATTAGCCAAACATGAGCACATGAACTATCAATCAGAAGTGAGAGAAATCCTTGTCGATTCAGTCTCTACAGCCAGTTCCTTGAGACTAATACTGCCTTATTTACTGCATATGCGAGTGAGTTTGCAACAGTCCTTTGGTTCTGAAGATGGTGGGTGTACTTGTGTTCACACTGAGCCAAGATGCTGCTTTACATATATATTTAAGGAGCTGTATTTCCAGTCAGCTCCATATGTATAATTGTTACTCTATCCTGCCAATCCCAAAGGTTTCTTTACTTGTCTTCCAAAACAGATGCCAGCTTTATTGCATAAAATGAATGAAAACCATTCAAGGAACAGTGCATCACCTCTTTGGTGCAAATCGGAAGAAATCCACTTGGATGTCAACAGATCGCTTCCTATGGAAGGACAAGGACGACGGAAGATCGTACCTGAGCTCGGCCAAGACCTTTCCCTCCCGACCCCACGAGGCGGCCTTCTTCAGCACGTGATCTCGGGTTGCTGTCTTATGCAAAGAGTACACTGCACCTTCGCAACACTCGATGGCTTCTCGAAGAAACTCCATGTCGATGCCTTGGTTCTGTTTGGTCCCAAATGGAGGATTCATGATCACAGTGTCAAACTGTCCCTTGTGAAGGATAGGCATTTGTTGCACATCTGAAAGCAGACAGTCGATGGCTGAAGCCTCAAAGTCCACTGCATTCTGCAACAAGGTCTGCAATGCGGCCGTGTCGATGTCGACACCGAGGATATAGGATGCACCGAGAAAGGCCGAACCGAGGGACAACATCCCACAACCACAACCAAGATCCAGGATGCGTTTCCCTGCGATGTCATCAAACGAGGACTGTATGGTGTAAAGCATCGAGGCTGCAATGTGGGGCCGCGTTTCATACTGCTCCAAGTTCACTTTTGGGTGGGAGAAACCTGAGACATCTTGTAGCAGCATTTCCAATTCTTTCCTCTTCATTCTCTGGGATCTGATTGTAAAAAGTCATATAATAAATAGACCATTTATATTCCAGAAAATGTGAATCATGCCAATTGATGATGGATGGTAGACTATATGAAACCACAGAATGCCTGCTATGAAGAAGGGATTTTCCCAAGTTTCACCCATTAGAACAAGCATCAGATATCAAGATCCACTTAGGTAAAGCATCTTTAGATTTCAGACAGATGTCGACAGGAAGAGAAAACTGACCTATTTGGTAAGAGGTAGAGATGGTTTGAGGTCCAATCTGGGGATCACAGGAAGAATGAGGTTCCCAAATGCAGAGTCTTGTGGGACAAAGTACCCAAGGGAAGTGGCATATGCCTGCTGCAATGTAGCTTGCTGGGCTGGGTTTAAGAGTGCAGTCTCACTGCCAACAAGAGACTGCAGGGGATAAGATCAACAAGTCACAGAGTGAAACAGCATCTTACCCAGAAGAGATCGGGAAGGAGTGATGTTTCCCATCAAAGACAAGAGGAATGAGAAGTCAGAAAGCCAATAGAGCAGCAGGTGCCCTATTGACTTCCTGCTCCACTTACCTTAACATGGGCAGCTATTAAATTATACAATTCTGAAGCACTTACTGAATAGTGAATACAATTATTATTAATACAATTATTATGAATACTGAATACAATTATTATTAATAATAATAAATATCTTACATCTTTTTGCTGATGAAAATTTTAAAGCAAAATACTTCTGAGTCTAGTTTCAGTTCAAGACCTATCTCTAAACCTAATTTTAACATTCTACTCTTCATAATTTCCAATAATTTTTGGAACAAACATGCTTCCATTTAAGTGACTGAAGCATCCTTCCTGCTCTTACTCTGACAAGGTATGAGAAGAAAAAATGACACTGTTATGTTGGCCTGAGGAAGCAGACAGTCTAGTAGCTTACTCCATTTGCTGGTGAAGGTGCCAGTTGAGGGGTGGGAGGAGATGAGTATAATGAAGTAGATGAAAGACTTGCAGCAACCCCTTGCTTCAACAGCAACTGCTTTTTCTGCAGTTGAATTTCCTCCAGGACCTTCCTGCTCTGCAATTCTGAAAAGCAAAATATTTTTCATACTTACAAGGAGAGTTCAAATGAAGCCAACAAAGTCTCCACAGCATGCAAGGTGAATGGTTTGGTGGATCTGCTGTGGCATAAAGAGGGTGGGCAATTGACACCAAACCATGCATGATAGATATTGCATTCTGGGAACTTTTTCAAAAAAGATGGCAGCAATCTCAAGAAGTGCACCTTGCAAGAGATGTATGGAGTGATTCATGTCTTGTACTGAAAGATGTACACATGCCTACAAAAGACTGCAGGGGATAAAATCGGCAAGTCACCAAGTGACGAAGCAACTTCCCCAGAAGGGAGCACAGAAATTCCCCATAGAATACAGAAAGCATAGGACAGCAATTTTTGCATTACAGCTGAGTGCATACATAGAGATAGAAAACTTCCAATGGGGATGTGAAACACCAGCACTTGACCAAACCTTCCAGTGTCCTCCAGTGTTTCATGTCCCTTGTTGAACTTTGTTACCCACTTGCAAAACCAAATTTCTGCAGGGTGTGATGCCAATAATCCACCCTGTTCATTCCTTGCTACAGATTCACGATAACATTCACAACTTGCTGGCCACAGTGACTTAAAAGTTCAATTCAAATTCCCCTCATACAATGCAGTTAAAACGATGGGAAAATAATTGATGAATAAATATCCCTGATGGTTGAATGTAAAAATAATCCTCCTTGAATGCTCTTTCAAAGCTACTTGCCACCCAGACCAGGAAACTGTCATGTGCACACAAATTCCCAGCAATGGGTCAACGTGATTCAACTTACTGTTGAAGAAAAAAGAATCCTCCTGAGGAAGTGAAAACTTGAAGCTTACCTTGCCTCGATGTTGACATACTAATGTAGGACCATCTATGTGCTTCCTACATCCACCAACAAATGCCAACCTGAAGACAGCAAGAATAAAATATTTTTCACATCCTGAAAAAAGTACATCTAACAAGAACATGCTTTCCAAATTTATTGTATTTTTTTTTTTAAATTTCCAATTCAGTAGCTGGCAGTAAAGAGACTGACCAAGCCATCAGAAGTTATACATGATGGCCCTGATGCTTCTGCTTCTGTTAGAAATCATCAACAAAATTGTTAACTCGCAAGAGCTTTATTCTCTTAGACCTCCTAGAACACAACAGAATAACAATCATAGAATGAATGAACCATAACACCTTGGTACATGAGGTGACAAAAAATTGCACTCTACACTAAAAGAAAATATTCTTTTTCCTCTAGAATCAACTTCTGTAACTGTGGTATCACAAGAGATGTAAGAGACTAAACTGTCAATTTCACATTATACAAACTCTTCCTATTAGATTATGGAGGGAAGTCACAGAGACCATCAAAAATAGAATTAAAGCATGAACTGGAAAAAAAAAAGGTTTGAACAGCAAAAGATTCACTCAGAGCTAATTTCTGTTTTGCACCTTGTCACTATGTATGAATGGGATTCAGTTTTACCAACCCAGTGAATGATGTCAAGCATTTTGCTGCTGTACTTCAACTCATTCAAGTTTAGCATCCTTGGAGATGGAAGCCATGTGGAACCCAGGACATAGCTTTTCATTATATCTTTAATATAAAAATAATAATAAATCTGACAGAAATATCAAAGTAATAAAATTGGTTTGAAGCCTGCATTGCTATTGTCTGATGCTGATCGAGGTGATGAATAAGTTGGAGTGCACAAATCAGCAGGCTTCTTTCTCATACAAGAGGACAAATTAATACTCATGAAACATGGCTCTCCAGGATACTGGATTAGATCTTGACATTGATAAACATAAACTCGACAACAATGCAACAAAATTTTGGAAAGAAAATTAGAGAAAAAAGGCAAACATGACCTGTGCTTGTGTTTTAAATCTAAACTGATTTTCCAAAAGAAGCAACATTTCTCATTCACATCATGTTTATATTGAATGCTCCTATTGGCCCACCAGACAGTCCAAGAAAATGGATAAGATTTGATTAAGACAAAATGATGCTCGTATTCTTTCATCGTGGGATAAACAGAAACTAAAATACCAAAAACTCAAAATACTTTGAAATGCATAAATTTCTGGGCACACCTGAAATAAAAACTTCAACCATCCATAAGAAAGGGTTCAAGAAACACCAAAGCACCATCACTGACTCTGTTCAAAAATTAAACATCACTTGCGACTAGCACGCAAAAAAAAAACAAAAAAAACTTGCACATACATAAACAGCCCACATCACTCTCAATGGTAATGATATTCTGAGAGCACTATAGGCATCAGCCAGCAGAATTTGCCAGTCTCAAAGCAGAAAAAAAGGAATTGTGTTTCATGCTCACACCTGATAAGAGGATGGATAAAAAAATTTTTTTTAAAAAGGAATGCACTACAATGGAATGCTTTCCATGATCATGGAAATACTCAGATATCACTGCTTCAATACTGTGACCGTATTCTATGCTGAATAACTGGATCCTGAGTAAAGAAGTACGGATCAGTAAGGAAGGAGTTGTACAATGTTTCACAAAATACTGTACTTCAAAGAAATAGCCTGGGAATAGAACCCATGCCATATTTACTTCTGATTTCATTACCATAATGAACATGGGTTAGACTCTGTGGCACTCAACATTTATCTGGGCCCTGATGCTTATTCTCCTTCAGTGATAGCACCTATACTCCATGTAAAACAAAGTACTTTAACATTATTGAAAATGTCACACTCTGATTTGCATTGGTTTCCTTCACAAATGATACACAATGGGAGCTACCACTGGTTGTCCATAAGACTCCTTATGGCTTCATAGCACCATCAAGTCTGTAACAGTCCACCAATTCAGCATCTCTGTCGACCTATTCTAATGGCACCATAGAAGGATCCATTTAAAGAAAAGTTTAAAGGATGATGAAATGCCATGCAAAGCAAATGCAAAGCATCACTTGATAATACCTGAAAACTTGAGGGAAAAATTATTGTCTGGAGGTTCCCAGTTCAATCACACATGCAATACTTCAGTTCTCTATGCTGGTAACTCTACTTGATATTAAGCTTTGGCCATCTCAATTACTCTGAGGTTCCTCAAATGTAACTTGATCCCGCCTGAGAGGATTTGAGGAACATAAATTACACACTTTGCCAACCAAATAAGGCACAACAATCAATAAATCAATCAACATGAAATATGTGAAAACAACAATATTCTTTTGATCTATGAAGCAATTTTGCACTCAATCAGAGTATGGGAGAGGACCGGCCTCAGGAAAAAGGGATCGTTGCTGTTGAGGACTCAAGCTTTGGGCTCAAAATCAGGCCATTGCAAACTCCTGAGGCATATCAGGAGTTGAGACACCTTTCTCCTGCTGCCTGATGATTTTTAGAGCTGCATGGATTCGGAAGTGGAGTCGAGACTCCAGCGAGAAGCCCTTGTAGTCAGACCTGATGGGAGTTCAATTCAGACATTACCATGCTCTAATGATTTCAATGAATGCAAATGTAAAAAGGATAAATAGACAGACTTGGCAGATTCGAGGAAAGATTTGGCCTTGACCAGATTTCCCAGCTCTAGATGAAGGAACCCCAACTCGGCTGTTATGTAGGGAGGCAGATACGTATCATCCTGGATCTCATCTTTCTTCTGGAGAGCAGCAGCAAAAGTGACTTCTGCCTCACTTGCCCTTTTCAGGTACCTCAAGCACATTCCTCGCAGGACCATTGTCAGGCACCAGTTATCCACATAGTAGGTATTCCCTTTTTCTGAGGATAAATTCAGAGTCCTATATTTCAATCTGTGAACAAGACCTTCCAATTATGAGCCAATTTGCCAAGATTGTCATCTGAACATCACTTGAGAAAAGAAAATTGCTAGAATACCATTCTACAAATTGGCTGTGAAAAGACAAAAGAGTGAGAGACAAAGGATAAAATATACACATGTAATCTTGAATGCAGTTCTCCTTGCTTGCTACCATTATGTATATCAAGTACAACACATGAGGCATCATGTCTTCACAAGAGGTTCTCTCTGGCTATGTATGTGTAATAAAGAAAGGTTCTCACCTAAAGATTCCTGAGCCAGCGATACATTGTCCAAAATGGATTCAAGGAGGTCCTTTCTCTTTCCAATGACTAGAAATCCATTGTGCAGATAGATGGCCTCTAGGGAGGGTAACACTAGCTTCTCCCCCTGGGCAAAATATCGTTCACTTTTTTTGCCAGCAAACTTCTCCAGTGGAATCGACTTTCCTGCTATACGCTGTCGGTAACTCGGCACTTTCCTGTTTATGGAGACAAGAAGTGCAAAGGAGTCTCAACCTATTCTATCAGGGACAACTTGACCTCCAGAAGGTCATGAATATTTTAATGCATGAAGTTCACCAAACATTCAAATAAATTCCTTGGAGTTTCAGGCCTACTGCAAGCCTACAACATAGAAGATGGCAGAAGTAGTTCTGATCAAGATTCATACATAGATAAGTCTTCTTCCTTTCTTCTGTGACCCAGCCTTGAACATGAAGAATTAAAACCAAAACCTGCTAGGGGTAACTACCATCTGAATAAATAACTAAAAATAAAACTTGTAATAAAATTTGAAAAGTTAGGCACATGAAGCATAAGTAACGAAGGATGAAAATCACAATACTGGAGGGCTGTGTATCAGTAGATTTTCACTTCAAGGCTGGATGAGAAACTAACAGAACAGTAGTCATTACAGCACAAGTTTTGTCAACATTTTAAAACATCCCTATGCAAGCCAATGAGAATAGATTAATGTTGATGGTCTTGCTCTTGACCTTCCACAAATTTGATATAATGACAACAGAATATTACATGGTGCTCTCACATGATAAATTCGAATAAGGGCTCATAATATGAGAGGAATAATATTGCTTATTATCCCTTATTTTACAGATGTCAGAGTTCCAAAACAAAACCCTGTCAAGGCAACCTACAACTTTCTCTGTCCTAAATGGCAGATACACCAGTTACTAAATTTTTTTCATTGGTGTGGTTTGAAGCCTCACCAATACACAGCAGGTAACCTCCTCTGACATATTAATTCATTTGTTGCCATGGGAGTGTTCATATAAATGCTTATCAGGCTTGAAAAGTTAGGGTGTGATGAAATAAAAATAATGCAAATTATTTTATTTGATCTCCAAACATGATTACAATGTCCTCATCTGCTTGGAACATCTGATGCACAGGCAAAGTTCTACTTCCTCAGTATTGATATCTTGCTTAAGACCAAAGAGGGCTTAGCTGTACATAAGAGTCATTCATATCCTAGCTTTCACTGAAGCAAGTCCTTTGATGAAAATTCTTGCTATTAGCTAGGGAAAACAGTACTGACTCAATACTCACCTCATGAGTTCATTTCTCTCTTTCTCCTGTTCTGGAGTTGGATCACGAATTTCGAGAAGTAATATGGCCAGAGAGTAAGCATAGACACATGGAGACCAGCGGGACTCCTTGAAAAGTTTCTGTGCAAACTCTGCTGCTCTCTCCCATTCACACAGATACCTATACCCAAAAAAAGAATGAAATAGAATAAAAATTTAAAAAAAGACAGGTCTAGGTGATGTCAAGTTAACAACTAGGGATGAGATTTTTACACAAATGCAATTTTTCAGGTACCCTCATTGAAGCATTCATTATTAATAGGAGACAATCAATGGCAATTCTTAAATGTATAAAAATGCATACTTTTGTGATTTTTTCAGAATTGCACATTTATGCATATTTACACATTTTTCCCATTTTCTGTGGAAGAAAAAGTAATGTTATTCTGGAAAATGTGATTTCTTTGAGAGCAATGATGAAAATTTCCCAGTAGTCAAGTTCTGTGATAAGAATTGACCAACTGTGCCCAGAAGGCACCAAATTTTACCTCTAAGCTTCCTCTTCTCCACTCAGGGGGGAAGTGGAAGCTTTGTGATATGAAACATACATTATAGTTCTTTTTTTTCAAAGAATTCATTCTGGGTTATAAAAAGCATATTTTCCATTGGCATATTTTAGGACTCAGTGCATAAAAACTCACTCCCTAATAATTACAAAAGGGATTGTTTATAATGATTCAAGACTCACATGTGTGACCACATGATCTCCCAGAAGCAAAAGTGATGAAACTGGACCCATTGATCTTGGGAGTGCCATGCCTGGTGATGTAATTTCACTGCTTCCTCGAAGTTACCTTCAACGAGTTTCAAACGACCAGCCAGAAACAGAGGGAAAGCCCCACTGGGATATTTCTACAAGAGGAAGAAAATAAGAATAAACCATCTTTTCCCTGCTTTTTGGCATCAGTCAAGCCAATGTGGATGAAAATGAATGTCTCTCACTCCATTCTCAATCTGGGGCACAAATGACCTTAAAAATTCTTGCATTTCCTCCCTCCCCTCAGAGTTATAGTTTAACTACTTCTTTCTGCAAATGGGTTATGGGGATGGAAAGGAATAATGTATATACTCACGTTTCTCTTAAAGTGAAAAAAATCAATTAATGCAAGTCCCTTCTACCATAAACTCAGGGGTGTTGTTAATGAGGTTATTCACCAAATATAACTAGTGGGGATTCAAAACTGATTTTGGCACTTGGCACCTATACACAAATGGATTACATATTGTTAGAAACTGAAAATTAACAAGGCAGGATGTTGCCAGGAACAAAAACTTTAGATAAATACTGCATTTAGAATGACATGACAGGATGGCCATCAGGCAAATGACAATGGGTGAGTTCAAATATCACCTTGTACTAGGGAGATGCTTCTTCTAACATTAGCTTAGATATTAATATTAACACCAAGCCAAGGATGAAAACCCAGAGAATAGCATCATTCTATATGATGTAGGTTTGTGTCATTTTCAATTTTTCAATCTCTTTCAAGGCTGCAGGCATTTCATACAAGTTTTGGGGTGACACCAACTAGGAGTAAACTTGCACAAGTCTTGTTTTTCAGTGCATGTAGTAAGGATGCCAGGTCTAATATAAGCAATAATATTAGTCCTGGTAATTATAACTAATATTTAATTGTATGGATCAAGATCCAAGTGGATCAACTATCTAATTTTCAACTTCAATCTTGACACTGAAGATATCCCTTACTAGGCCAAGTATTAATATCCAAGATCATTATGGGCTGAAAAGCTCAATCTTGAAAGCTAAAGTAAGCCAAATCAACTACAAACTTGAAGTATTGTTAATCCCAATGGATTAATATAAGATACCATGATAAAGTACAGGGAATTCTCTTCAACACAACACCAATATGGGACTTCATGTTTAACCTGATGTTACACCTCCATGAAACACCAGAACTCAAGGTGTATCATAAACATGCAAGCCTTAGTTCAAAATCAATGTTAAGGTACATATTTTGAGTTACATGGAATATTAACATTTGAACTCACCCAATATGCCAGATGATTTCTTTCATCTCCTTTAGAATTTTATGCTTCTTCTGCCAGATTCAGAAAGGAATTATAAGTTGATTTAAGCTTGATTTATCAATGAAATAGCCCATGATTCATATTACCAGAGTAACTTTTTTTATTATTATAAATAAGCAGATTTATGCAAAGTCTGGTTCAGTCTACCTTTAGCTGTTCGATAAAAAAACAGCAAGGGGCCCCCCTCCTTTCCCATCTTGAACTACTGCTTTTGCAATTTATAACCACATCGAAAATAAACATAGGTGCAACTTTGATTTCACTTCACTTTCAGTTGTTTATCCATTCTTGTCATTTAACATATTCATACGTGGAAATCAGAAATTTCCAATCTGTGCAGTGATATATTCAGTCTAGTGTATCACCATCCAAACCTGTGAATTCAGTGAGGCAGGATGCTCAGATGAATAATTTCCTTCTGGTATCATTACTATGAAGAGTGCAGTGCAATTATTTAAAAAATCAGCATTTTTCTATGGTTGCCCGCTCAAAAAGCCAGAATATTCTCTGGTTGAAAATGGGTTTAGATATCCTGGTTTTCAGAGCACCCCTGGAACCAACTTTATATTTATAGCCAATCTGTTATATGCACTATATACTTGCATGTGCTTTAAGTGTCAGATGAATGAGAAACTGACATACAAAATGCAAGACAGGTCACAGGGAATAACATAATTAAAAAATCACTCTTTTCTTAAACCCTTCAAGAACAATTACAATCAGCCTATTGGTGCAGATCTGCAGTCACAATCACTATACTGTTTAGCAGCTGTGAAACCTGGCATCCATACAATAAAAAAAAGAAGACAAACAAAACTGGGAGATGCAAGCAAAGGCTGGGGAAGGGGGGGGGATACAAGGGTACCAACCCCATAAGGAATTGAGTCCATTTATGCTGTCTTCTTAATAATCAAACTAGCTATATAATTTGCATTCTAATTTTGTCTCAAAGGCAAGATGAAGTTATGAAGTTTGCCTTGTTCAGCCTTTGACTGAGAAGTGAAAGGTTAAGAAGGATGGAGTAGGCTTCAATGGAATGTGTGAGCCTTGTCTAAAATATCTTGTGGATACTGCCAGGAAGTCAGAAACTTACAGCCTGAAGAGCAGTGAGTATGGATGCTGCCTGTTGGAGATCACCATCTCCAATCCCAAAGAGGAAGGTCACAAACAGATGATAGCCAGCTATGATAAGCCTGCACATGGTTTGGCGGATTGAACCCTCACACTTCTGCCCATCTTCTAATTGCCGCAGACCAAAGGTCTACCCAAAAGTACCATCAATGCTTCATTTTTTAAGTCATGAATCCAGAATAACCTAAATGCTTTTTATCCAACTTGTTCTTAAACTCTAATTCATGGGTAATTTATGCATTTTCAAGTTTCTATAGTTTTAGAAAAGTAAACACTATCTAACCCGGCTGCCTGAGAAGCCAATCCACTCAAGAAGACGGAGAACTCGCTGTGGCAGTAGAGACAGAAGCAGATTGAATCCACCTACTCCCAACTTGACTCCACAAACAAAATTTTCCCTGATGTACTTTGACCATTCTAAGTTCTGTGACTGTGAAAAAGTCCAGCAGTCTCTGAAAAGGAAAGCACATCAATTCATAAAATTCATTGATTGATTTATATCAACACAGCATAACTAAGAACTCACTTGTAGGAACCATAAGCAGATCGGATCTGAAGCCCAGCTTTAACAAAGCTGATGAGATTCTCATCTTCGATGAATGTTAGGACTGCTTTAAGCAGGTAACATTCTGAATAGCAGAGTTCAGCATGAGCCTCAACTTCACTCCATTTAGGAACTTGATTGAACCTCACCATCCTAGACATTGTAGATGTCAAAAGGCTCCCCTGCTTCTTTCGAAACCGCTGACACACCTCAATGGAATTCTTCATGGTATGAAGGGCTGCCTGGATATCTTCCTCACTCATCGTCATCACAGCTTCTAGGCACATGATTACACCATACCCCAAAGCAGGGTAAAAGCTGGATCCAGCTCCTGCTTTTAGCAATGCCTTGGCCTTCTTAAATTCATTGTTGAAGAATAGGTCAGTGACATGGCATGTCAGCTGGATGGCCTTCACCAGGTCTTCACTGGTCATCAATGATGGGTCTTCTGGGGTCATGTTGCCAGATCTACTATTGGGCAAGGAAGGGCTTCTTGGGATTACTGGTATTTGTTCTGACCCTTGAAGCCACATTTTACCCTCCTTGGCCTGCCAGGACCTACAGGATGCCCTGAGGAAACAATGAAACTTATGAGTATACTCATACAGTACTAACCATCAGTCAGATTCACCAGTTAAAAGGTTAAAGGGTTAAAAACCAGTCTAAAGTTCGTAAAAAAGAAAAATATATAGATAAATGCAAATTAAACCACATGAAGTCAACAAGTATCCACATTTTTAAAAATCAAAGTTGTATCATTCATTAGCATTTTTCTTTGAGATCTTCTCACTATTAATGGACCAATATGGATATCGGCAAATAACTGATGAACTGATATATTGGCATAGGCAGTGATTCATAGGGACTCAGGAGGCTCCAGCCTGCCCAAAAATTTGGCAGAAAGGACTCACTGGGGGGACAGCAAGGTCATAAAGATAAGGAATACTCGCAAGAGTACTGTCTCTGAGCCCCCCATATTTCTTGACAAATCACCACCTATGTATATTGGCACATATTCTTACCAACAGTCAGCCTCTTTAGTAGCAAGATGAATATTGCATGACAAGAACAATGAATGGATATAAAGGATATCAGTGACCCTCTCTTCCACTGTTAAACACCATTTCCATTATGAGCACTTATTGGCCACTATTGTGAGATATTTTTTAAATACAAGATGTGAGCATGGATGGAGGAAAGGAGAATTATTCACACCTCACCAGCTAAGCTTTACCTCAACTGTCAGTTTTCTATGCCCTCCATGCTGAAAATGTGACTCATGAAAGGATTCCATATGGTTCACATCATGCTGTGGCTCCAATTAACACTTGGTCAGCATCCCCTTGAAGTCTGAATATTGCATTGCACAATTTGTGCAAGTCACATCCATGGTCTTTATTCATTCTTATTTATTATGACATCGGTGAAATCAGACATGCCTGAATGAGAGTGAAAAGAGGGTTTTCCTCTTGTGATAGTAAGTTGAAAATTGTTCATGTACACACCTTTAATTCAGAACAGAAATAATAACTGGAGTGATTTGCTAGAGCAATAACAATTTTCATGGCTGCACTTCCACTTTTCAAGCAGATATTAAAGGATTGTGAGTTAGCACATAGTCTGAAAGAGAAATTATATTTACTTCTTTCCAAAAATGTATAACATCTAAATTTTGAAGCTAATACTTTTCCTAAAGAGAGTATAGTGGATTCCTTGTCATATCCACCTCACAGATCCCAAAAATTGTAGCAATAGGATAAATGTGTCTTGAGCTAACAAAAAAAATTTAAGAATGCGAACATGACTTGCATGAAAAATGGTAACAACCTGACATATCAATTTCCAAATTCTCTTTCCCTTCCTCTGACAACCAAATAAAATTACTAGAGAATTCTAGAAATGCAAAACTGCACCCTCCCTATTTCCTCTGTACTCTCCCTAAAACACCCCCACACTACTCTTCCATGATGCAGTCACTGTCTCCCTTCTTTCTGATTGACAGGTATCCACCCTACATTATGCAAGATGCTTTTGTCACTGATTATGACAGGACAAAACATCCCAACCTTTGGAATCGTTTCAGATGGTGTAGCTCATGCCTGAAACCACACAGTTGGTCTGATCACAAAGATTAACCTGCTGCTCATTGCATTACTCTAGTTTGGATGGGTCATCATCACTGAAGATAGTGTATATTTTATGAATGAACTCATGACTAAACACTGAGCCTTTTACTTACTCCAACAGCAGAGAGGATGAGACATGCAGTCATTCTTGCTGCCACCCCCAAAAAAGCATACCCATGAAGAAAAGAAAAAGGAATGAGCAAAGAAATCTGCAACGTGAAGAAGTGGCCCTTGGGATAAGGAGAGTCACCCATGGTCCTAAGAAAGAAGCGAAAGAAGCAGCTGCCTGAGGAAGATTACTCATCACAAAATGGCAAAGACATATATCTGGTTTGCTTTGAGCCAAGTATTAAAAAAACCTACCCTAGGAAAATTTACTCAATATGTAGCCTTAAGAAGTGGGCTGGTATAGGGCATTTTTGATAATTGCAACAATAATCAGGGCATCTCTCTGCTCAGCCTTCCTGGAAAAGTCTATGCCAAGTGCTTTGAAGAAAGATGTTGAGAGGTTGTAGAGTCCAAAATCCAAGACAAGCAGTGTGGTTTCCATCCTGGTCATGGCACAGTGGACCAGATTTTCCCCTCTACCAAATCATCAAGAAATGCTAGGAGTATGCTTACTTCATAGACCTCGAAAAGGCCTACGACAATGTTCCTCAGGGTAGGTTATGGAGGGTATTGCAGGATTATGGGATGGCTGGCCAGCTACTGGCTGCCATTAAATCTCTATATGAATGCTTTGAGGACTGTGTCTGAATAAATGATGTTAAGCTGAATCCATTCAGCGTGGGTGTTGGACTCTGCCAAGGGTGTGTACAGTCACCTCTCCTTTTCATAACCTTTATGGATGGTATCAGCAGACACAGCCAAGGCAGTGAATGTGTCAGAGTAGGAGATGTCCAAATAAGTCATTTGCTTTTTGCAGATGATCTTGTTCTGTTGGCATCCTCTGATGCTGATCTCCAGCAGGCACTAGACAGGTTTGCAGCTACATGCAATAAGGCTGGGATGAAGATTAGTGAGGCCAAAACCGAGTTTCGTCCTCTCTAGACAGACTACTCAATGTGCTCTACATGTCAGTGCAGTCACATCAAGGCAAGTGGAGAGGTTCAAATATCTTGGGGTAGCATTCACGAGTGATGGTAAGCAGGATGTGGAACTAGACACACGGATCAGTCAAGCAAGCACAGTAATGTGTTAGCTAAACCAGTCAGTGGTAATGAGGAAGGAACTTGGCACAAAGGCAAAGCTCTGTCTTCAAGACCTACACTCCTATCCTCACCTATGGTCACGAGTGTTGGGTAATGACTGAAAGAGTGCAATCACAAATACAAGGGGCCGAGATGAGATTCCTACGAAGGATTGCTGATATAACAAGACTTGACAGGTTTTGGAACACAGAAATATGGGAAGCACTCGGGTGTGAACCTCTTCTCCGAATTGAGAGATCACAATTACAATGGTACAGGCATGTGGTCAGGATGCCACAAAAGAGACTTGCAAGGCAAGTCCTTTCTGCTAAGCCAAAGGGAAAGAGACCAAGGGGCAGACCTCGGGCTAGGTGGTCAGAATATATATGAAGACCTGGCATGGTCACGTCTTGGAATCTACCCAGAAGGACTTGCCAAATTGGCAGAGGACCAGAGCCATTGGAAGACTCTCCTGAAGCTGCTGCCCCTGCAACCCGAAAGGAATAGTGGGTATTGAAGATGGATGGATTGATGGGTTAACATCGTGCATACATATTCAAATAGAGCAGGGGTGTCAAACTCAAATCGGTCGGTGGGCCGCATTCCTTATCCTGCAGATGCCTGCGGGCCGCACCAATACTTTTTCACTGAAATTTGTGCTATCAGTCAATACAAGCGGAAATTTCAAGAACAGGCGGCGGGCCAGATGAACCACCTCCGCGGGCCAGATCCGGCCCGCGGGCCGTATGTTTCACACCCCCTGAAATAGAGCATCCAAGCCAATAACTTGGATGCTTTGACATGGTTCATTAGATGATGAACACAAGGGAAGCAGAGTAAGTAAACAAATAAGCAGTAGAGCAGGGTAGGGTCAAATTCTGTCTCCTAATGTAATTAGCAGATCCAATGTGTGAGGAGCTTAGGCCTAAAGACAGAATGTCAAACTCACGCTGATGACAAGTTCAAGGTAAGCTTTGAGTTAGTTGGATCCTCATTCCCACACAGACCATCTCCATTTGAAAACTCTTCATTGGCATCCACGAATTCACCCTGCAATGACATTCAACATTTATGGGTCAAGGACAATACTTGGCCTTGAAAAATGAGCCTGAATTTGGAATTTTCAAAATTGGTAGAAGCAAGATGATCAGTCAGATGAGATTGTTTTTCACCTTTGCTAGAACTCTGTTCTAATCCTAATATAAATCTCCATAAAATCTACAAGTTTCAGTCTCAAACATAAATGCACATGTATTGCTTGCTGAATAGAGAATGAAAGAGCTAGATTTATCATTCAGTAGCATACACATGAATTTAAAAGTATAAATCTCAAATAAATTGGAAATTCAAGAACCCTCACTCAGGGACTTGTCTAGCAGATGGCAGTCCCTATTTTGCACCAACTACTAACCATCCCCATGTACTCCATCTCTAGGCATCCTACAGTATTCTCCTATTCTCATCTCTACTCTTAAATGTATAATGTACCCACTCCTTCTTCTGTATTATCTATGATGGAATACTCAAAAGGTCACTACTTGATTGGGCTTCATAGAGCCTATCTAAAATGTTTGGCAGTTCACCAGTAACCTGCAAGAGCTTTAAACCAGTCACAACTGTGACTAGTTCAAGTTTAAGCTGTGATTAGTTTAGTGTGAGAAGATCCTAGGGTGAAATGAGATCTCACAAACTTCAAGTGGAGGAGTGGAATGCATCCCTTGAGAGAAAAGTGAATATGACTTTTCCAACTAGTGTTATATACCAACAGATCCTCTCGTGTGTGCTAAGTTTCATTCTTGCTCTAAAATTATACTGTGGCTTTACCATTGAAGGTTTTCACATGATACTTTCCTTCATTCATACTCAGTCTTACAATTTTGTCCTTAGGAAATTTGAAAGATTAACTTCCCATCATTTTGGAAAATTTTGGGAGTCACAAATGTTAGCTTAAAAGAAAAAAAACACTTAACTATGAACAAAAGTAAGAGAGTACTTTTTTTCCTGGTTAGTTTATATATATAGGGCTACCAATTTGCAAAATTTCATTCCTCAACTCTCCCAGTTTCTAATATACTTTTAAGCATAAACTACATTCACCCATCCAATCAAAAGGGTGAACTCTAGCTTCGCACTTTGCCTTAAATGTGGCACAGAAAAAAAAAAAGCATGTGTAGGCCTAGGACAATAGGGTATAGGCCAGTATCCAACCATTAAACAGACCTCAGAATCTGAGGAAGACTCATGGAACTCCATAGTTCCAACCAAAGGTCCTTGTTCCATATCACCACCAATCACAGAGAAGAAGGAACTTGCACACCTAGCCTATTAAGGCAATTGTCCTAATCCCCAAATGTGGGCTGGAATTTTAGGCCTTATAGGATAGGCCTGTTATGTTTAAAGCTGCAGGTTCGGCCTAGTTTACATAAGAAACCTAAGTCAACTGGGACTGCACTTCATTTTGTGGAGCTAACTCAACCTGCAAATAAATGGGGAGAGAGGATTAGACCTATGAAAGAAGGATGGCAAAGAATGGGTTCAGGCTTATGAAGAGAAAGGCTAGGTCCAGAATACATAATCTTTTATTATTTATTCTTCATGGCTACATTCAAGTATAACTTGACCAAATACAGATGAATATACCAATGGGTAAAATCTGCTGTGCTCATCTAATTCAAGAAATTGGTGAGATAATGCAGATTGGCAGGTACTAGTTGAATGGAATCCTATTTCCTCACTTCTCTGCTGTTCAAATAGCACTTGCTGCATGATGCAAGTGCTACCAAAAAAGGCCAGTTTTTGGTAATTGGCTGTGGCTGAGTTAAAATATAGCCTACTGGTTCACTCAGGTATTCCAGCTATAGCAATCGTCCCACCTCCTTCAGAAATGGAGTGTGACATAAATTGGCATGTGCTGTTTTCACCCTCAAGTGTATGCAGAGCCTCGTGGCTTTCAGCTCAACTTCATTCTCAAGTAGGCAGGCCTAAGCACCTCTCCCAGCCTCTCCGTTAACACTTCATCGGTGCATTGTTTATAGTTTTAGGTCATGCTTCAAAATTTTTTAAACTAATATTTTTTTAATTTCCTAGAGAGCCTGAGTGAAATGCACTCCAAAACTCAGCGTCATAAAGGTAAGCTGAATGCCAATCATGAATACGAGACTCGTTCAGTGCATGTAATGGGGTCCACCATGTTGGGACACATGCAGAGTCATCTGCCGTTCACTTTTCAAACTACACTCCATGCTGCTCCGCTTCCTGCACCAACGGCTGGGAGAAGATAACAGCTTCGCACTGTGCACTTTTGCATATCTCACTATGCACACTTAGCTAGCATCTTTGCTGGTTGTTCGATCTGTCGCTGCGAGATCGGGACGGCAGCGGATTCGGAGTCTTAACACCTTCGCAGTCCCGTGACCCACAAGTGGGTCACATGGCATATGTAGTAGCACATCTGCGACGCTCAAGTGGGTCAGGGGACATATGCAGTAGCGCATCTGTGATCTTCCCATGGGTCACAGGTAGTGTTTCTCTTCGGTTCGGCTGCGTTCGATTCGGGAAGGTTGCAACACTGGAGTCGCTTGAATTTATATTCGATATGATGCCGTGAATAATGTTTCGGTTCTGAGTGGATGCTCCCTGTACCGCCTGAATATATGTAATATATTTGTATATATAAAAAAAAGTCCCTCCGCGCCATCTACCAGCGAAATTCCCTGTCCCGGAAATCGTTTAATCGAAATGCGAATGGATTCGCATTCCTCGCATTAAAAAAAATTTGAAACGGTTGACACCTTCGAATCGTTAGCAGGATTTCAACCTAGGTTAACCAGGATAGAAGTATAAAAAAAAAAAGAAGATAATAATAATGTATGGGAGCGAGTCATCGATAGATTTCTACACGGCTGGTTTTGAAGTCGTGCGATGACGCGCGCGATACGAGTCCGGTCGCGAAGGCCGCCGAGCAGTTTCAAAATTGTCCGACAAATAAGGGTTTTTCGTGAGTGATATGATGATGATGGTGAGGAGATGTGAGGGTTTTCACTGCTGTCGCACGGAGCGTGGCACCTTTCACTCTCGGGCTGGGGGGATCACTGCCGCGTTCCTTTCCGGCTCCGAGGGAATCGGTCGGAACCTGATTCTTAATTTCACTTTTCGGGTTGTTCGAAATGGCTCGAGCGAGGATTGGCTTTCACTTTTTATTTTCCTTACTTACAAAGTACCAAACTTACAAATGGATTATGATGATAAATGAATAGATAAATAAATGAATAAATGAGCGATGGTCGAGGGTGGTATTCGTTTCCTTTTCGCATTTTTTCTGGTTTTCTCCGTTTCGAATGCGTCGATGGGAATCGATGGGGATCGATTGGAACCGGATCGAGGAAGACGTCGGGCTGCCGCTTCCTGGATTTCCCTGGATGAGATGGGCGGAGGCGGGACACAACCCCGGATAACGAGTTTCTCCGAGTTTCTGCCGGACTTAAAAAAAGAAAAAAAAAAAGTTCTGGGCGAGATTATGCGAGTTGACGGATGCCGGGGACTCATCTTCGGCGCTCAAGGTTGTCCGGACGCTTATCTCAGTTATTAAATGCATGCGTCTGGGATTAAGGTCGGTCGACACTTCGGCGTTGCGATACCGAATTTAAAAGATGCACGTGAGACGAGGAACCTGTTCGCTCCGGCATTTTTCGGTCCGTTTTTTCGCTGAGGGCTGCAATCATTACTTTAAAAGAAAAAAATGTAAAAATCGATGAGGTATTTACCCCTTATTTTTTTAAATGAAGTGGGCGTGCCTCATTCCATTGTGCGCCCATTAGAATACCGGAGATTCCGGAGATCCTGGGAACAACTCGCACGGCGACACCGTCGAAATGGGCCGAAAATGGGCCGACAACCGGGAAAAATCGTCGATGAACCGATTTCTCGTAATTTCCTCGTTCTCGACGGCCGTTACGCGACGCCGAGAGACCGTTCCGGGGTCCATACGCACGTGTCCTGCCTCATTATTGCCCTTGTCCAATTAGTCGCTGGACGAAAATTAAGGAGTCCGTCGTCCTTGAAGCGGATTTTCCCTCGTGACCGATGTTTCAAGTCGCTTTTTCCTCACGTCGTGCGTGGGACGCGACGGGCAGGACGGTGGGAGAACCTTCGTTTGGCGTCCGTCTACACGCACACGCACGCACACACAGACACCCATAGACAGACACCTTGTCCTGACGCCGCAATCAAAGCGCTTTAGTGTTTTTTTTTTTTCCGTTTGCATAACGATTGGCCTTGCTTTTCGGCTCGGGAAGCAGGAAAGAATCGTCGCGAAAGTAATTTGTATTCAGTAATATTTAATATGCGATATTTACTGATATCGGGACTGATACGGTACGGTGAAAGGTGGATCAGTATTAGTGCCAGTGTCAGCATCAGGCGACAAAGCCCTTACAATAAAGATTTACAAGTGGTGAAATTGGCCCGGGAAATTCCATGGAAAAGACATGTCATTTACATTGCCATATGTAATTGACTTATGTCATTTACATGGAGTTTCCCAGTCTCCGTTCATTTTCATGCGTGCATTCCATGGCGATCCCTGGAATTTCCATGGCATTAGCAGATCAGTCATGCGATTCCAATTCTCTCATCTGCAAAAAGAGAACATTCCGTATTACATAGTTTGGTTTGGGTCAAGCGTATAGGAGAAACATGATTTAGTTATGTGATTCTGACAGCTCTAAGGGAAAGTGCTGCTTTGGACTCTGGAAGAAAGAAAATATGCCGGTGAATATACGAGGTGCGTTCAAGTTCTAAGGTCTCCTAATTTTTTTCTGACAAACTACTTACACCAGAAAGGTACCGGTGATTGACATGTAATTTACACAGAAATTCCCAGTCACGATGGGAGTTTATAGGCTTGTGACAACCTATCCTGGAAATGACCGGAATTTCACATAGAACCATTCGCTCTTCCTCTGGAAGCGGGGAAACAGCAGAAGACAGCTGCGTAAATTCGATGGAAATTACAGGCTGGGGATCTGGTAAGATACTGTGCGCGTCAGTAGGGTGAGAGTCGACGACCCAGCCATGCCGAAGTTGAAAGTGCGTCCATCGTGGCTGCCTTCTGTCGAGTGCGCCGATCTTCTTTTGTGCAGTGTCTCATCCTCCAAAATGTTAATGCCCAGTCTGACTGGAAATAAGGGTTAGGGCTGCCTACCACGTTACGAGACTGTGCATACATGTGCATACGCATCTAATCTTGAGCCACCGTGGTCATATCACAGCCTGCCGTGATATGACCACGTCATATCACGGCATGACCACCGTCATCTCCCTGTTCCCGTCGACTTACTCAGGTTTCACACTTTTCATAGACTCGAGGTTCATTAAATTTCTGCAGGACTCCAATGGCTTNTATATATATATATATAATAAATTATTATATACGAGGAGTGATCGGGAAAAAATAACTTTATAGCCAGCGTCCAGAGCGCTCGTATTTATAGGAACCTGATGGTGCATGCGCTGAGTGGGGTGCTCACAGGGGTCCACCCACACGTAATTCCTTTGGGTGTTGAGGCATTTGTCACACTGTGGTATCAGCTTTTCACTGCATGCGGAGTAGAATTCTATGTCCTGGGAAGACGGTCGTTTTTGCGCCGCTCTCACCGTCTTGGCCGACTGGAATTGACGGCCGCCGAGATGCGTCTTCATTAACGGGAGCAGGTAGGCATCGCGAGGTGCGAGATCAGGGCTGTTGGGTGGGGGCTGAAGGACCTTCCGCCTCGTATTCCGCATCATCTCCGTCGTCTGTCGTGCCACGTGGGGACGAGCGTTATCGCGAGGGAGAAGCGAAACTCGTGTGAGACGTTCTGGCCTTTTTGATTCATGCAGGTGTTGCACGGTACTCATTGGCCTCAACTGTGTTTCGGTACCGGAGAAACTCCACCAAGAAACACCTCGGTTATCCCAGATCACGGAGTGCGATACTTTTCGGATCGATGGGGTTGTTTTGTACTTTCTGTGCGCTGGAGATGAGGGATGTTTCCAGGTCACGTTTGCCTGGTTTCTGGGGTACGGTGAAGGACCGAGGTTTCGTCTCGTCACGATGCGGTTCGGGACTGACTGTCCTTCCCGCTCGTAGCGATGCAGATGGGTGAGGCTGCGTTCCATCCTTGGAGATTTGTGATCTGCCGTCGTTTGCATCTTGCAGAAGACGGCAGATCTCGAGCGCTTCGCGGATGATGGGATGGGTGACTCCACATAACGGGTTCGGCTGTGGAGAGATGCTTTGCACTGTCTTCAACACGAACGGCGCTGTCTTCCGTCGAGGAAGTGCTGGACCTGCCGCTCCTTCCTCTTCTCGAGACTCGTTCGTCCGCTGGCAAACTGTACCATGCGGCTCCTATTTTTCTGGATGGCACACCGTTTCCATGCACCTCCAACACCCGAAGGCGTGTTTGGCCAGCAAAAAACGGATGACACCTTGCGTTTCAACGGGGCACCAACTTTCCAATCGCTTCGCCGTTCACGACTGCACTGCTCACATGACACGAGCGGTACGAGTGGCTTCCTCGTGCGATGTTGCCAAGCGCGACGACCAAAATGTTCAAAATCGCACGCCAACTCCTCCCACCTTGTGGTTTGTTTGTGATAGGCCTTATAAAGACTTTTCCGATCACCACATTTGCTAATATAGTTATTTATAATACAGTTATAATAAACCGTTCCGTCAATAATTGCGGCTAATAAATGCTGTCGTGTCTATTTTAGTAAAAAAAAAAAAAACATGATCTTGAAGCCATTTTACGACGGCTGATGGAAAGTCGTAAAAGCGAAGGCGGAGCCTGGATTCAAATGAGCCAGGGTCAGATGTCGCAATCCGATTTCGAAAATTAACGATCGCTTCCGAGTGCAAACGGGGACGGGCTTTCCGGACGTGTTTTTGGGGACAGGGTGAATCGAAAAGCGCACTATTTCGGGGAACCCGGAAAGTTGTGGAATGTAGGAAGTTTTGGGGATTTGCGAAGTGAAGGCGAAGAATTTTCCTGTGATTTGTCTGTTCTCGGTAGAAAAAATAAAAAATAAATTAGGCCTTCTCATCAGCGGTTTTAGGGTCACTGCACATTTGCTGATTTACTTTTTTTCTTTAGCTGGCCAATATACTCTCGTATGTTGGTTTTCTGGGTGAAAAGTCCTTTTTTGCCCGCAGGTATTGAGTTAAATTATCTTAAATTAAAAATAAATGAATCAATTTACAATTCCGTCTTTGTAGGCCTTTCCACTCTCTGCTGTGGAAAAGAGCAAAACTTCCTCGTCAGGCTGAATCTCCCTTTCCATGAAGCCTAAAATCCGGACTGGGAACAGGCAGCAAAACCAGCTGCAATCCAAAGTTTTTCCAGCTGCTTCTCGATTGGAATAGATATCAAGGACAAGGCGAAACTTGACGACATGAGTGAATTTTGCGGAAATGAAAGCAATTAGTTGTCCCGATATTGAGACACCCTTTGGTCAGCCTCATTAACTGCCTCAATGATGCCAGGCCTGGGGGACTCGTTATAACGCCGACATTGAAACAGAACCAGTCCTGCCTCTTTTCCCCGATTCCCCGGAGAGAAAAAAAGGAACTCACAAGGTCGCGGGAGCGTTATGAGACGCGAGAGAGGCTCCGTTCGTGGCCGTTCTCCGTTAAAAGCAGGATTTTGTCGAGGGACACGTCGAGGATCCTGATCAGTACGGGCAGCGGGGAGCGAGGGTGGGCATCTTCGATTCTGTCTTCAGGGCGCCTTCGATCGTTCATCATGCAGCTCGTCCCGGTCTTTATCGCCTTCTGCTTCTTTCGCCTTGGTGAGTCCGACGAGGATCGAGATCTTTGGGGACTTCGTGCGAGAGGCGTAATGAAGCCTCTTAGGTCGACCTCCGCCGTTTTTCATACCAATTACTTATCATACATTAAAGAGTTTCTGTCTCTCCAGAATAGATGGAATATCGATCCGTAATTCAATAATTATCATTTTCTTCCTTTCAAATTAAAGAATTATCATTTTCTTCCTTTCAAATTAAAGAATTATAATTTTCTTCCGCACAAGTTTAAGAGAGAATCGGAAAAGCAAAATCGTTTCTCTCATATTTCTGAAATCATAAACCTGTCGATGCACGTTTTCGAAAGTCACCATAGCAGATGACGGATGCTCACCGAATCGTTTCAGCCGAGTCTAGTCTGATTTTTCGGACTGAGCTGGACTGGACTGATTTGGTGTGATGAAACCTAAAGAATCTCTGCTAGATGCGACTGAAAGGGCCGTTGTTACCGATTGTGGGAAACGAGGGGACAACTAGGCTTCTTATTAGCTTCATGGGGAAGTCATTTCACCAGATAGACAGAGTATAGGCCTTTTGTTAGAGAAGCCTTTGTTTTTACATATTAGGAAGGATATTAGGGACGCGACGTGTCTCAATGTGATGCTTCTTTAGATGTCATGCACGAGAATGCTATGACGTGGTAAAGATGTGACAGCCTTCATTTACGTGCTAATCCGTGCTAATCATCATGTTGCACAATTTTCTTCTGTTGACATCGACTTCACGAATACCTCATGAATACCCTTTTCGCGCCAACTTTAGGATCCGAGAAGCGAAGATCTCTAAGGCTCGATCGAAAGATCCTCACAAATAAGCGATTCGGCTAAGAAGGCATGTTTCTCTCGTTCCTCCAGGTGATCCCCAGACGTTCTCGGGGATCGACCTGAAAACGATCCAAGAGCTCCTTCGACAACGGGGCATCCAGACGCCCTCCTTCCTCCAACAGACCCAAACGGAACCGCCGCAGCCCCAACCCCAGCCGCAGCCGCAGCCGCAGCAGCAGTCGATAGTGACGTCACCAGGTCCCTCCCCTCAGTCCCAACCCCCCCCACCGCCGTCCGCTCCGGCCCCGCCTCCTCCCCCTCCCCCCACTCCCGTGAACCAGGGAACATTCTCCCAGGGCGACCTGACGCCATCCGCGTCTATCAACACCATCACTCGGGGGATACAGAACTTGATACCTTCGTTCGCCCCTTCCCCACCCCCTCCTCAACCCCCCATGCAGCACTTCCAACAACAACCGACTTTCCACCAGCA